CCTGAATGTGTCTGGGCTCTCGTGCTTCTTCTCCGCCTCTCCCAGTGGGCCTGCTCACCCTCCAGCCGCTGGAGCACCCATCCCCTCGGCTGGCTCAGAGCACAGTGAGCCAGAGATGCTGGCGGCTGCCTCTGTGGGCAGGATGGAGGGATGGGAGCCAGCCAATGCAGCCAGGGGATCCTTCAGAGCGGCGGCAGGTGTGAGAGCCAAAGGCTGCAGGAGCGTGTGCAGGAGGGACACCAAAACTCTTTTATATATAAGGAGAGAGATATATATTTTCATTTAATCACTCTGTTGATGTATGTTTTATTCTTCTGGCCCATGACCGTAATAAATAATTGACTCACTGATTGAAGTGTTGATTGGAGGCATTTGTTAGCCGCTTTCACTTTGTATGGCAGGTTTACCTCCTATTAAATAGATTAAGCTACACGCCCGCTTTGTAAAAATTTCTAGTGGTTTCCCATTAGAATCAATGGATGTGGACAAGCTTAACAGTTTTTCACTTGAGGAGAGAAGTGTCTTTTAGGACGCAACGAGGGACGTTATACATCCGGGACCTTGTGATCTATACACACAGATCTGGAAAGTTACACTGGACATTTTTGACTCTCCCTTGTTTCTGACAGAGTTTGTAATTGATTTTCATTGTAATATGTTTTGTATTAAATGTACTTTAGTATGAGTTGGAACTTAAGAATTGTATTTGTATGTGTATGTATATTTACGATTGGATAAACACAACCACACTCAAGTGACCGGGTAAGTACACAATGTTCCAACGCAGCGCTAATTCAATTTATTTTTATGCACTTGCGGCTCACGATATCCTGCAACATGCACTGCCTTCGGCACATGCCCCATATCAAGCCCTTGATTACCCCACAGGTCACACCACGCTTTTCAGTACCCGGTCCCCCCCTCCCCAGTTCCTTCTTTGGAACGCAAGAGCCGCCTCTTCGGAAGCCTCCTTCCAGAGCCTGCTGCGCCCCCCCCCACAAACAACAACTGAAGGCTTCTCTGCCGCCGTGCGTCCCCCCGCGACACCAAAGCACTCACAAGGAATGATCTGTAGCACCCTGTTTTTCTTCATGTTGGCCGGCAAGTTGCCCGTCCTCATCTTGTCGTTCTGGATCTTGATGGAAGTCAGCTTCTGCAAAAGGAGGTGGACGGAACACGGAATGACCTGACTGCTACTTTCTAAGGGCAGGTTCAAAGGGTCCCAGATCCGGGGGGGGAGGGGGTCGACCTGCCCCTTGTTTCCACTTGGGCATCCCATGAACTAATCCTTCCACTCTGGGGAGCAAAAGGGATGGAATCTTGATGGGCACCTAGTAAATCCACGCTTTTCATCCATTCTCCACAGCCTGCCTTCTTCTTTTTTTGCCAGTCTGGTGGTTGCCAGTCACAGCCGCTGACGAAACGTCAGGTGCTACAATGCCAAGACCACGGCCATACAGCCCAGAAAATCTACAACAACTAATGAACACCGGCCGTGAAAGCCTTCGACAACATACTGCTCATTAAAATTTATTTAAAAAGAAAGAAAATAATCTGCGCTCCTAACCACTACACCAACCTGGCTCTCACCAAAGGAGCTTCGTGACTGCTACTCCTCTTCTGGAATTCTATTTGGTTCTTCCTGCCTTTAAGTAAGTGGGAAGGTGGATTCAAAACTGGGACCCTACACCAGGGGTCATTTCGTAGAAAAAGAGGTGCGGGAGCTCATTAGCATAACTCATTTGCATATGCCACCCCCCCTGACATCACCGGAAGTGTGTCAGAAGGCAACACCCGCCGCTCAGGCTCCACTGGACTGTTTTGGATTGCTAGTTATT